CATGGAATTAAAATTTGAAATGCGATGCATAGTCGTTTGATCAAGTTGATCTCTTAGTTTTTTTTAACAAAGAGTATCCCCTTTATAACCGTGAAAATTCACTTTTCTTTTCGGATTTTTTGGTTCTAGAGCAATATTCAAGTATCTCTATCGAATACTATATAAACGAGTAGTTTCTATATTGTTTAGATCCTCAAAAAATTCGATTTTAAGCATCGGCTATCTTAATAATCAAGTTTTAGAGCTTTCTGCTGTAGCAAATTATCCATACTAAACCAGTTATTTCATCATTAAAGTATCGTGTGTAGATTAAAGGCTTCGCAAGTGCAATGAAGATAACCAGAAGTTGAAGAATAGAAAAATTGGAAGTATCTAAAAACATCATTTTGCATTTTTTTCAGTGTCCACTTTTCAAAGGAAGAAATAAAAGTTTTTCTATTTTTTCACTTGCATGCTATGATCAATTGAGCTGAAAATTGTTTTATAACAACTTCAGTTACATCAGCATGGATATTATTTTTGTTTGAAAAAAAATCTTTGGTGAATTTGAACAGATTTTATAAAATTTACCACAAACAAAAAACAATTCATTTTTCGAATGTTCTTGGTCGTATATTTCATCAAAGCAAACATCATCTCACTTATCATGTAGCCAAATTTCATTCTGCTACGTGATAAGTGAGAAAAGAGGCACAGATGTCCTTAGCGATTTGAACAGTTCGTTTCTTCTTATATTTTTGTACGTGCATGATTTTTTTGTAGCTTCAACTGAAGTTTGATTCGTTTTAGTGATTTTAGATGATTGACATCACATGAAGTTGCTAAAGAAAAAGAAAATTTATTTATTCTCGTAGAAACTTCCAAGTTTACTAAATTCATATAAATATTTGCCTTCGTTTTCAGCATTTAAACTGCTCGAATAGCTTTCGAACAAAATAAATCTTTCGTTCTGTAAATCATAATTGAGTTTTTTTTGTTGTTCTTTCCTACTTCACTGTAAAAATGTCCATAAAAAATTCTATTACTTATGAGTCAAAAATATTGACATGTCGATGAAAGGAAGTAATTTATTGACTCAACAGCAACATACAAAAATAGTATTGATCATTAATACAATAGTTTTTCATATCGAAGAAAGTAACTAGCTCGATTCTTCCAACAAAATACACAAACATAGAACTCGATATAAATAGAACAAAATCGATCATCTTTCTGATTCAGATTATTCTTTAAATTGTCTACTGATATTTGTGTCAAGAACAAATCTTATGCTGTAAATACGTATCAGCAATGACAACAACGAATAAATTATTGTCTCCTACAGATATTTCATTATCTGACAATCATTTCTTAAAGGGACCATCACAGTATGACATTAAAAATTACAATCTTATCGTATTAGACCCAAACATCAACGAATTCAATCCAAATATAGAACATTCCATCGCCCAACTTAGTACTATTATTAGTAGAATCAAAACATTCACTGATGTTGATAGATGTGTCGACTTTTTAACCGAAACCAATGATGAACTGATGTTTTTAATTGCGTTCAATGTTTATGGAGAAAACTTTATACCTCTCATTCATGAAATTCCACAGCTTTACTCGATCTATGTATTATGCGATTGTGAGATAAGCTGGATTAAAGAATTGAATAAGGTAAAAGGCGTCTATACTGATATTAGTTCTATCTGTGATTCACTCAAACATGACATACGTCGATGTAACGAGAACTTAACATCGACCAGTATTCTTCCTAACAATAATTTTTCAAAAGTAAATTTGAATGAACTTGATCCATCATATATGTACACTAAACTATTAAAAGAGATCTTACTCAAATTAGACTATGATGAACATCAACGAAAACATTTAGCAGATTTATCTCGTGATTTTTATGGTACTGAAACGAACGTATTAAAAATGATTGATGAGTTCGAACGGAACTATCAGAGCAATGCATCCATCTGGTGGTACACACGTTAGTGTTTTCTTTATCAGATGCTAAATCGAGCTTTAAGATTACAAGATGTTGAGACTGTAATTACCATGGGTTTTTTTCTACGTGATCTTCATCAAAAGATTAAAGAATTACAATCAAAATCTGATCAACAAAAATCTTTTATCGTCTATCGAGGTCAAGCCATGACTAATTATGACTTCGAGAAGTTGTGCGAATGTAAAGGTGGTTTATTCTCATTTAATAATTTTTTATCGACTAGCACAGATAAGCAAGTTTCTCTTATGTATGCGGAGAGTAATGCAGATAATCCNGATCCATCATATATGTACACTAAACTATTAAAAGAGATCTTACTCAAATTAGACTATGATGAACATCAACGAAAACATTTAGCAGATTTATCTCGTGATTTTTATGGTACAGACACGAACGTATTAAAAATGATTGATGAGTTCGAACGGAACTATCAGAGCAATGCATCCATCTGGTGGTATACACGTTGGTGTTTTCTTTATCAGATGCTAAATCGAGCTTTAAGATTACAAGATGTTGAGACTGTAATTACCATGGGTTTTTTCCTACGTGATCTTCATCAAAAGATTAAAGAATTACAATCAAAATCTGATCACCAAAAATCTTTTATCGTCTATCGAGGTCAAGCCATGACTAATTATGATTTCGAGAAGTTGTGCGAATGTAAAGGTGGTTTATTTTCATTTAATAATTTTTTATCGACCAGCACAGATAAGCAAGTTTCTCTTATGTATGCAGAGAGTAATGCAGATAATCCAAATATGAAAGGCGTTCTTTTCGTAATGAAAATTGATACAGTAAATGCAGCAATACCATTTATTCCTCTCGATGATATCAGTTATTATCCAGAAGAAAAAGAAATTCTCTTCTCGATGCACTCAGTTTTTCGCATTGGTGACATAAAAAAGATTGAGAATGAAGTATGGCAAGTAGACTTGACACTAACAAGTGATGATGATCAACAGCTTAAGATTCTCACTGAACATATGAGAGAAGATTTAGGTGGAGGAACTCCATGGCAACAATTAGGTCATTTGATGTATAAAATGGGACAATTTAAAAAGGGCGAAGAAATCTATAAGATGTTACTCGATATTACATCTGTTAATGACAAGAATGAAATTACTATTTTCTATCACATGCTTGGAATTTTGAAACATAAGAAAGGTGATTTTAAAAAGGCTATATCATTCTATCAAAGTGTACTTGATATGCGACAAAATGTTGTCCCACCGAATCATCCTAGTTTGGCTACTCTATATAGCAATATAGGCTCTACATACCTTAATATGGGAGAATACTCGGCTGCACTTACTAACTATAAAAAAACGCTTGACATTGTTCAAAACTCTCAGCCAGTGAACCATGCCGAACTGGCTACTATCTACAGTAACATTGGTGTAACGTATCGTAACATGGGAGAATACTCAAGTGCACTCTGGAAGTATCGAGAGGCGTTTAAAATAAGACAAAAACATCTTCCATTGAAACATCCAGAATTAGCTCATGTTTATATCAATATTGGTGCCGTCTATGGTGATATGGGAAACTACACCGATTCACTAAAAAATCATGAAAAAGCACTTGAAATATTAAAAAAATCTCTCCCTTCGAATCATCCTGATTTAGCTATAGCTTATAGCTGCCTTGGTTCAATTTTTTTCAGAATAGGTAAGCATATCGATGCAATTCAAAATTATAAAGAGGCGCTTAAAATCCTTGAAATACCCGACTTGTTGGATCATCCTGATTTGGCTATTCTCTACAATAATATTGGTGCCGGGTGTTTCGCAATTGGGGATTACTTGGGTGCGCTCTCACATTATGAAAAAGCGCTTGAAATAAAACTAAGAATCCAATCTCCAAATAATACTGATCTGGCTACTAATTACAATAACATTGCCCTAGTATACGAAAGACTTGGGCGTAACTCAGATGCACTATCAAATCATCAAAAGGCACTTGAAATAAGACGCAACTATCTCTCTCCGAATCATCCCGATCTAGCTCAAAGCTATAACAACATCGGCCTTTTGCTTCATAACATGAGAGACTACGCGAATGCGTTGTCCTATTATGAAATGGCACTTACAATTTGGAAAAAATTATTCCCATTGAAGCATCCTGAATCAGCCCAAATCTATATCAATATTGGTACACTACACAAAGACATGATTGATTATCCAACTGCACTGTCTTATTACTATCAGGCTATTCAAATTCTTGAAATATCTAAGCCTTTAAATCATCCTCTACTAGCTACTGTATACAACAATATGGGTTCTGTACATGAAGATTTGAAAGATAACTTAAAAGCACTCTCGAACTATCAAAAAGCACTTGAACTTTGGCAACAATCTCTCCCTTCGAATCATCCGAATCTGGCTGCAGCACATAATAACATTGCTGGAGTACATAAAAGACTAACAAACTATCCGACGGCACTGTCATTTTATGACAAAGCGCTTGAAATTCTTCAAAAGTCTCCTTTTACGGATTATTCATTAGTGGCAGCCACACATAACAATATCGGCTGTGTATATATGTCAATGAAAGACACGTCAAAGGCACTTTTTCATTATCAAGAAGCACTCAAAATCTGGCAGCATTTACTTTCACCAAATCATCCTAATCTAACTGCTAATTACAATAATATTGCTGAAGTACATGAAGCACTAAAAGATTACCCAACTGCTTTGTCCTATTACGAACGTTCTGTTCAAATTGGAGAATTTTCTTTACCGGCTAATCATCCACACATTGCAATTTTTCGTAAAAATCTCGAAAGACTAAGAATACGCATACCAGAATTTTCTGCACCTACAACAAATCTAACTGAATAAATATGTTTATTTGAAAAAGAAGCATCAGAAAAATTCAATGTCTACAAGTTGATGATAGTCAAAGCATGAGCTGCAGAGATTTCAGTCTTATTTCTCTAAAAAGGATGTAGATATGGCTCTTATCTTCACCCACGTCTACACCTTCAGACTGCTTCCTAGTATGAACATTTGTTCATCTGTGTAAGTCAGCATAGAAGAAGATTAAATAGGGATATGACGACAATAGATGTTTTGACGCAATATTTATTTGACACAATGCACCAATGTGATTTTTATTCTACATTAAATAATCATCTCTCGTTGCTTTCTTTTTTATCTCATCATATAGAATCCATAATTGTGAGACTCTCTTCAATGAAGAACTAACACTTCAGAATCATCAGATATTTTAACAGAAGATGATTTTTGATCGTCTGGATTCATTTCTTTAGAGTATTTCAATGACAAACATTTGTTTTTGTTGAAAAACGAATCATGATACGATAATGATGCATAAATCTCTATTATTATATTATAACTGAAATAATCATATACAACTGGACAAAATTGTATTATGCAGATGTTTAAAAGTAAGATAAACATTTCATTATTATGCACATGATATAATTCGTGAAAATTGTTATTTAAAATTACTTGACAATTATTTTATTATTTTATTTTTGTTTGAAAAATATAGTTATACAATAAACATTGGATAATTAATTCATATTTTTAAAGGATCACTAATATCGACAAAGGAACGAAGGGTCACTGAACGAAAAATACATATAAAGTGAATATAGTTACAATCTATTTAATTTGCTCACCATACATGATGTTGGGATGCTTATTGAGTTGGTGATTTGCCTCTTGTGATCGAAAGGATAATGCATGAGGAGCCATATTCATCTCATTATGTTCTGTAACAGTATTTGTTATATTGCTTATGGGTACAACGCGAAAATTCCAACGACCGAAACACATCGGGAATAATGGATGTATTAGATTACGGAGTTCAGTTCGAAAAGTACGCGATACTAATATATATACGTAGAATGATGAAACAGGAAATAGAAATACACATAATTCAGCGATAAAAAATGCAAATTTTTCAATAGCTAAACGATCAGGTGACTTATTTGGAATATTACTAGTTATGGCAGCATAAAGCGTATAAACGAATTGAGGTGTTTGAACAATACAATAGACCGTGACTTGTATAAATAACATGGCTAATGCATTTTGATCACGTGCACGCTGAACATGTGTATTAGTATTGTGTTGAGTAGTAGGAATACTAACATTGATTTGTTGTTCATGTATATCTCGTTTACTTGCAAGATTGCGTCGAATGAGTAAAGCACTTGCAATCATAATTATTGCAGGAAGGACACCACCCGTAGTTAAGAGATAAATACTATGATAGAGTGCTGCTGCTCGACTATTTACGATGGCACAAATACCGGCAGTTTCACGTATCTCATAGAATATAAGTGTATGAATAGGTAAGACAAGCCAAATACCAATAACAATAAGAATCACACGACGTGCAACATGTACTTGTGCAAATCGTCTTACACGAGCATTTCTTGAACTTAATGCATATCGATCGATGCAAGCACTAGTTATCATCCAGCGTCCCATCATCATAGTTGTTTGCAATACATAGAGACGTGCCTTGCAAAATGCACGTATTGTTGTAATCGGATCTGGATGATTGAGCGAATAGAGATAGGCTCCAGAACTCAAACTTATAGTTATTATTAACACTGCTGATGCTCCCAAAAAGTCTACAAAGAAAAATTTTTTATTGTTCAATAACATGAATGTTATTCGATGAAAAATATTCATAATTATTTGTAACCTGAAATTAGCTCAGTTGTTTGATAAAGAAATAAATGTTTGCATATTTTCATCCGAATAAAAATCTACAAAACTGTGTACAAGTTGTTCTCATTCGCAAACGAGACATCTATTATAAAATTTGGATGCACATCGGGTAATAAAAATAGACTATTGTAAAAATTAAATTTTGATGTAGTAATTAATTTATCCCGCTAGCAAAAAAGTGCCTGAACAATTGGATACAGAAACTCTTGAATTTTCGTTAACAGCAGTACATAGATCTATTTTGAAATCGATTATTCATAGAATTTTTCAGAAACTCTTAATCGAAATTCGCGTATAGTTACAAAACTTAATTAGTCTATCATAATCTAAAAGTAATCTAGATCTCGAATTTGTACAAGATCAGAACAAAACCTAATTTGAATCTATTTAGTCCTTTATATTTCTACATCATCTTTTTTTCATATAAATTCATTCGACGCTATGCAAATTGATTGTTAGTGTCTTAACATTGAAAGAATTATTATTTCTTCGAATGATGATGATTATGTCGATAAAACTTGATCAAACATAATCGAGAACGATAAACACAAGATTGAAGTTTTTCAGTAACAAAAACTTTTGTCTTCCAGTATTGGAAATAGGAATTCAAATTTTAGGAAAGAATTAAAGGATGTCTATTGGAAAAATTGAATTTCTCTCTAATGAAAATGACACTTGTGTATTTGCTAATAGTGTATATTAAATCATTGAAACATTCATTAAACATGTTTGATATTAAGAAAAAAAATAGTAAATATTGATAGTAATTACGGCAGGCTATGGATTATCAAAAATAGGTTTGTATGGAAGATAAGCATCATATAGTGGTACACAGTCAGAAATCGCAACAGATATTGCTGATACAAGATCAAATACTGTATATCAATAGCATCTCGTTATAATACGTAAACTACTTTCTTATTCCATTTATGAAGAATTAAGTTAAAGGATAAAGAAGAAATGTGTACCAAACTAAATGGAACAGAATAATCTTCTTGTAATCAGTAACGACAGGAAGATTGTTTTTGACATTATAATTTCATAGGGCTTGTACTAACAGATGTTTTTCTCAACTATATGAAGCTCGCTTAAATTTATTAAGCTTTTTCCCACATTTGTTCCGTGACTTCATATATTAAGCAGTTCAAATTCAACGGATAGTGAAACAAGAAAAACTTATATGAACGAGAAACCTAGATTTTATAGCTCATTGTAAAAGAAAAAAGCAATAAACTCATTTATACCATTAAGTATTTCAAACCAACAACTTCTTTTGTTGACTTAATCTTTATTATTATTTTCTTAATAATTGATTTCTCAAGAAAATATGTTGATTTTGATAACAAGTAGTACATAATTTCACTCTGTACATTGCTCTAGGGTTTATATCTAAAAGTCTGATGAAATTTCTAATCAATCCTATTTGTATGACCTTTTTTGAACAGTTTTGAATTATAACCAAAGCGAAAAATGTTGACATTTCTTTAGAAATAGAGGCGTCACACGTTCGTGACATTTTTAAAAAATTTCTTCGTATGTTGAATGAATAGAAATGTTCTTTAACAAAAAATAATCTGAAAATATAGGTCACTATTTATATGTATTAACTATTATGATGTTTTAATAAGTATCCTACAGTGTGACAGCGTGTCAGAAAAACTTTCTCTCGTTCTTTAAGATGCGACCAACGCTGACGTCTAGAAAGTAGGGATTAGTTAATATTTTATTCTTATAGAATTTAATGTAAGTATGGATAATCAACGTCATAACTAGACTCAAAATTCAAAGACTAACAAACTGATTGAATATATCTGCGCATATGTAAAGACTTTTATTCTCTTGAGATTCACACTAGAGAAAATAGCTAAGGAAATTTTTTAATGATTATGGTCTATTCTATGATTGAAATATTTCTGTGTCTACCTTTTATCTACATCATTGTGTTCGATCTTACTCTTCGTATTATAGGTAATATGCAGATCATTTGATCCTTATTATTGATATTGATCAGTATAGTTTAACAAAGTGAAATAATTGATCAAAAATGAATTTGATGTTAAAATATTGAAAACCTGAATCGTTAGCAGGATTGATAAAACATATTTGCACTGGCTTATGTCAAGTTCCAAGATCCACTACTGTAATAGATTTAACAAACTGTACACTGATTTCATCGAGAATAGAAATAAGAGAAAATGACAATAATGATTGTGTATCGTTTGATGAAATTCATATCTTTTTGAAGAACAATAGAGATTTTTAATCAATCAAAAGTATTCTATATATATGGTTTATGATAATAATTTATACTTACAGTTACAGCAAGATGTTACGCGAAATTGTCGTCGTGACAAGAGGATGACATTGAGTAAACAACCTGGAACACCAAATATGATCCATGCTGAGCAACCATAACGAATTAATTGTTGTTGAACAACAGCCAGTGTTGTAATTATTGTTGATGAAGCCATTTTTATAGATGAAAAAGTTCCCTTTATGTTGTCTGTTCCTTTGTTTTTGACAAACTCTAGCTGCAAAGAAAATACTATTTTCAATATTTTCGACAAAATAATGTTCTATTGTCTTAGTGTATGGGAAAAAATGTTAGATTAGATCAGCATAGAAAATGGATCTATGAGCAGATATGTGATAAAGTAATTCAAAAAAGAAACGAAAATGTGTTGAATTGTTAGAAAATTGAGATGTATCTACCAAAAATTTCCTTAAGGGAAGATGAAAACAAGAGAAATACTTCATATTATTCATTTTAAAATTTAATTAATGCTAATAACAATGACGTGAATAACTCTAACGTTCATGGTGAGCTATTCATCAGGCAGATGTTGCAATGGTGAAATAGTATTTAAATAGTCCGAAAAGTAAAAAAAATAATGATGAAAAATCGTCACAACTAATAAATTTTAAACAAAGCATTAAAATTTATACTCTAAATTAAATGACAATGGTATCGAAAATAGCATTTTAATGTCAGAAACAAAAGACAGTAGTTTTTAGATTATTTTAGTATATTCTTCGTTGCAACGTCTTTCTGAATAGTTGTCCGTTATAAATATTTAAAACTTTCATTGCCGTCTAAAATATCTTTTCTTATAAAACTATACTCGAGTTTACAATGTATTACGGACAATTAAGGTAAAAACTATAGGATTTTTTCCAGCTTCAAAAAGTCACGAACTCAATATAGAATGATAGTTTCTATTTTCAATGCATCATTATATCTCAGGCTATGATGAAATCCACAATCTTCAATTGAATGGCAACAGTATTGATGATTATATCTTACAGTTAAACTATATATAACACATGCAGGGTCGCAGCGGCCTATGTCTCGAAATCAGCAACATAGACAGAAGATAACTCAAGGGAAAAGCAGAAATTTAGATAAATGTTAGGGTGTTGTAAAACTTATACTGCTATTTCTATGTAGGATCAAATCTGCATAAAACAATGAATGAAGTAAAGATCATTCATTGAAATTACAACGTACGTTGTTTTGATAAACGTTAAAAGTAATTAAGGCCAAATGAACTATGTAACAACATAATTCCTAGCCAGATACATACATCTTATCCTATTTTTCTTTCTTTCCATTCTCTCTCTCGCTATTTATTCCGGTTGGCATTCTCTCTTCATATTGCTTTTAGACGTTCAAGAAGCTTATTCAAGTTATGCAAAAGATAATAAACAAGAATAAAAAGTTAATGAAAAAACGTTTTGACGCAGGTCGTTGAAATTGAAGTGTGGAATTCATGTCTTCTTTAGCTTCATTAGAGAATTAATACAAAATATACAAAGTGTGAAATTTCTAAAAGACAATAGTTCTTTACCAATAATAATGGATTGTCAGCAAATTCTGATCTTTTTTATTTCTGTATTTCGAACAGAAGTTTTGTTTTCTATTTTTCACGGACGCTATTCTTTTCGTTTGTATTGCTGTTATTTGCTCGTTACTTGTAATTTTCATATTTCATTTTTCTCAGTCTAGTATTGTTATTATTATAGGCATTAAATTAAATGTCACCTAAGGCTGTCATAAATATTCATTTTTTAATCCCGATTTCTAGGATCTCTAATGAGGAGGAAGAGTCACGAAACTTCGACTTAAAACCTACACCCAATATTTTCATCAAAAATATATGTCAGTGCCATAAAATATCAATTTTGCTAATGAAAAATGAGGTCGTGTTGTTAAATATGAACAATTAGGAGAAAAGGAAACCTAGTTGATAAACGAACAAAAGAATTTACAAAAGTCTTTCTGACAGTTGCTAATGCTAAGGTAGCTATTTTGAAAAACCAGTTAAATAAAAATAATGAAAATGTAAACCGATTATGAAAAAACAGGAGCAATGAATCATTTAAATAAATATTATTTGAACACAGTCTTTTCTTTGTAGAAGATGTTCTACAAATATTTTTATATAGATCTTGAAGAAATATACTATAACAAAAGAGTACATCATAATCAAACAAAGACGGTTCTATCGAGATCGACCATGAAATATCAAAATAAAATCCGGATTTTCAGTCAAACACATGATAATTAAGACACCTCAAAAGGTCAGGAAAAATAAAGAACATAGTTTCGCTGCGAAGTCTGCATATAGCATTACTTTATAAACATCATAGCATCAGAAACAGACTGCATTAGTCTGGCAGAAAAAGAAAAAACATTTCTTGAGCACCTCTACCATTGTACGGAAAATTAATTTAAGTACTGCGTATTTTAAATATTCAATTTGTTTTATTTTGCTGGTTTTCTAACACATACATGTCAAACATGTTTTATTCATTATATAGTGATTGTTGACTAATATTTCATATCATATGATAATCATACATCTAAGTTACTCATTAACAGCCAAAATTGACGATAGTAGACATGGAAAACAATTTGCTTTTTCTTTATTCAAAATAAAACCACACAATAGATCGCTTTTTTTTCAGTCAACTACTTCAATTAATGATTTATGTTTCGGTATATTTTAGTTATCATTCATTTCGTATAAAAATTTCCTTTTCGCAACAATAATTAAGAAAAGGTCTCAACTACTCATAATGTAATATAAAGAATAGAATAATTAAAGAAAAGAGAAAAAAAATAAAGTTTGAAGAGATCACACAGAAACCAATAAGAAAATCAGAATGATTAGGATATAGAGAGACAATGATTAAAAAAAAATTAGTTTTGAATTAAAATTATAAATGCTATGGTATTTCCTTCATACAACAAAAATTTGCAAAACTTAAACTAGATTATTTATCCATTACTGGAATATAATTTGCCTTATAATCACTATTTTAAAGATGTTATTAAATCAAGGGGTTGAAAAGCTAAATAAAAAAAATGTTTCTGCTACATAGTTTGAAGTGCTACTTAACATTAATTATTAGTGTGCTTCTTTTTGTAAAATAACAGATGAATTTAAAGACATATGGACGAGTTAAATATTTATTTCTGATGCTCGCACAATATCAGTAGTGTCAAACATGAATAGCATGAAAATATTCACATGCCTTTCTATATAGGTGCCATGAAAACAGAACAGTTGAATATGTGAAGAAGTCATCTATAATTGAATTCAACTTTCAAGTTTGCCAAGCCTAGATTTTCTTTGACTGCTTTAGCATAATTTAATAGTGAGTATAGCAATAAATATAATATTAATAAGGTCTTGACGTGAACAGATAATTATTAAATTCAGCTATATAGATTAAAATCTATTCTATATAAGAGAATTCTAACTTCACCTCTAGATTCTTACTATTGAATTACATTCAACACAGTAAGTAGATGGCTAATTCGAGTTCGAACATAAGTCAGATTTCTAAAAATTTGATCGGCAACATTATGGCGAAAAAAACAAGGTCAAAGTTTTTATGTTAATTATAAATTATAATTAACATTAGAACTATTTTATATAAAAATTGCTAAAAGCTCAAATCAGAGTTTTTATCTTGATTATAAATTATAATTGGGATTAGGATTATTTTAAGTAAAAATACCTAAACCGAAAGCTAAAATTTTCATCTTAGTTATTATTTATAATTGGAAACTGAATTATTTTTTACAAAAAATACACAAAACAACCTGAAGCGAAAACTTTTATGTCAATTATAAATCATCATTCGAAATTAAAACTATTTTATTTTAGAATAGTCATAAAGTCAAAGTTTTTACCTAAATTATAATTAGATATTTTGAATCGATAAAGGAACTTTATATTAAAGAGCAGCTACCTTTTTTAACTGTGAATATAAACTAGTGGTGCAACCAGATTAGGCCTGAGTCGAACCACCGACTATTTAAAAAATCAATTGTGTGTATGTATGCTGTCTGTTAATAAAATTTGACATATTCGGATTAGATTAAATGTCTCACTGTCAAACGCAAAAATTCAAAATGTGAGCTGTTGATGACACGCAAGGGCTGAAGTATTCGAATTTTAAGGTACCCACAATTTACAGTTTCACCAGAATTTACTTTTTTCTTTTTCATAATCATTGGATAGAGCGCGTCGAATTGCATAAGAAAACATGTTTCAGAATTAAAAAGCAATTTTCCTAAAATTAGCAGATATACTATTAATTTCAAATCTAGGAGAAAATACATGCAAATGTTTTATTTTCGTAAAAATTGTTTTTTTTTTCAAGTTTCAAATACGTAATTTCTTATATAACTCGATGAGGTCTATCAAATCATCACGAAAAAGGAAAACAAGATATTCTACTGAAATTGTGAATTGTGTTCACCTTGCATACATTGTAAGTACCTCAAAAATTCAAATATATCTAATTTTATTATCTAACAAAACACGCACCTCCATTGCCAATTCATACTAAGCTGATCTCCAGTTGGATACATACTTATTCATACTTTATTTCTCGTGATGGAGAGACGTCTATTGTGGTATTAACTATTAGTTGATTATGTTTTCACCAAAGATTTCTTTCCATATGAATGCTATAAATGAAATGCACAACTATTTCATCATTCTATTAAATAAGATAAAGTTGGGTGTGGGTATAGATGTGAGTTAAGCGAAATTCAAAAAGCACACCGACATCCTAAAATTAAGAAGCATTGTTAATGTTTATTTTGAATTATATAACTATACAATTAGGCACTTTCAATAACAATGTTTCTTCTTGTTTCTGCTATAACTACACCAATTTCATCTATGGTATGTGAGAGAAAGTTTTGTAAGATGAAATTGGTCAAAATAATGATAAGTCGTATAATGTCAGATATCTGATTGAGCAATTTATGCGTTTTAGCAGTAGAGCGAAATTTTCATATCAATTTCGATAAAGTTTTTAATGTTTTTTCACTTATTAAAAGAAACATCATTTTAAAAAACTGTTTGTAAAGATAAATACATTGTTTTACTGTTTCTCTATGAAAAAGAAACACTGTATCAACTTACACAACCTTACTAAGAGCCGTTAC